AAACAAAACCAGACCCACTATAACTCTTTAATTATAAAACATACATGGCATGTTATTGTCAGGGAAAATAGAAAATCCCCGGAATTCGGATGCAATGCCACAGCAACAATTTATTTTGAAATAATTATTCAGTCATATTAAACATTTGTTTGCTCAGCAACAATAAAGATTTTGAAACAATTATTTAAAACAAAAAGGTCACAAGTCACAGCAACATCAAAGCAAGTACAATTGAGCTGTTTTTCTCACAAACCCAATCACGCTAACTGCACAAAACATCTTATAATCAGAGCATTCAATCCCATTATAATTTCATACAAAAACAATGAGCTCGAAAACAGAAAGACCTAGCATCTTTAACGCTAACATTGTGGGAAAAAAGAAGACTCACATTTTGTGCATATCCAGATTGACCTCCGTAGGTTTGCTGCCCGTAGGCATTCGTCCCTCTTGACGAATACATTAAATTAAATTAAACCTGAATTAAACAACAAATAATACAATGCTAATCAACCAAACAAATATAACCCATTCTTTCTTTTCTAGAAACAAAAAGAACAGAAACAAACCATGGGTTCTTTTCTACGCAAATCGTTTAATTACCAAAAATAAATAAAACCCATAATGGAGAAGATACCTAGGTAATTACTGATAAGACAGGGACAGACGGAAACGTGAAATTTCTGAAAAAAAAATGATAAACCCTAATGCATGTGTGGGTACGAACAGAGAAATAAAGGGGCGGGCGACTTTGAGGATGACTTGAAACTGGACTTAATATATACTCAGAAGCCAGAGAGAGGTTTAGCACCAATTTCTTGCTTTGGTTTCATCGGCTCAATTCCATGCACCTCATTGTCTTTACGGCGGGCTCAGAAAAAACACCGGAGGGTGAATCAATCTCAGCCCGATATCGTCTCGCTGGGCTTTCGTGGACGCCAATCAGCTCATTTGGTTTGGGCTCTCATGGCTCTGAGCCCGAATCAGAGACGATAATAAAAGGCCGCTGCATAACCATTGAGAGTGGGTTATGTCATAAGGTTTGTCTTTCACGTTCCGTTCGGTAATCGACAATTAATTTATTTTTAAAATTTTAGAAAAAAAAATATTTTATTAAAAGTTTAATATTTTTTATTATTTTAATAAAATTAAAAAAAATTATTATTCAAATAAATTAAGGAGATTGTCATAGACAAGTATAACAAAATTTTCTTGAATCAACCAATTTAAATATGTTTATTTGAAAATATTTTACATTTACTTTTATATTGCTTTCTTCTTTTTATTTTTTAACTGAGAGCACTACATCTCAAACATAGAATCTTCCCCTAATATTGATTTTTTAATAATTTATAATTCATATTATTGCTAAGTAAAATAGGTAAAAATTAACACCTTAAAAGGTGCTGTGCCACTCATAATATAATATAGAGATGTGTCTCTCTCTCATGTAAAGATGCAACTCTCTCTATTCACACAAGTTCATACTTTAAAATTCACATTGCTAACTAAATTTCCAGTCATTCATTCAAGATATAGTCATAACTTGGGCTAGGGATATAAACAAGTTGAATATTATACAAGTATTTGTAAGACATAAAGTTTGAATACTTTATGTTTGGTTATGGAATAAATTTGGGTAAGATTTAATACTTGACTTTGATTCGAGTATTACCTATAAAATATCTTAAATTCGAACTTGATTACACGCATACGTGCATACACACTTATACATATATATTAATATTATATATAATCTTTCGAAAGTTTATAATTTATGAAATTCTATCCTATATCCTTTTTATTTTCAATACAACCTTTACCGTATTAATCAATTTTTTTTGTAAACTAATAAATATAAATTAATTTTTTTATCTGATTTTTAATTATTTAAGTTGTTGTTTGAATTATTTAATCAGATATTTAACGGATTTGGGTAATTAGTAAATAGTCTTATATTTTTAAGAGATTTTAGATAATGTTTTGCGATTTTATTTGAGCTTTAGTGTTTGTTTGGTTACATTTTTATTAGTTTATCTATCTCTTAAAAGTAGAAATCAAGCCAAACAAAATGTTAGAGTTTTTGAGATGGATTACTCGTTAAGTGTCTTTGTCAATCTCCTTTTTTTTCATCTTTCTTAAACCAAAAATTAGTGTGCATGATCTAATTATGGGTGAATAAAATCAGACTAGACTAATTACCCATAAAATTAAATGTGATTTGGGTAAATCAATTCAGTCTAATTGATCAATTGAGTCAATTGATCTAAAATGATTTGTTCAATTGATTTTTAGTCAATTCTCGATTTTAAAAATTTTAGACCAAGTCAACTAAAAAACCAAACTAATATATATGTAATATTATATATATTATTTTTAAATTTATAGTAATATAATATACATTTAATTTTTTCACTTCTTCATTTTTATTTTTTCAATTTTTATTTCTTTATTTCTTTTAGTTCTTTTTTTGTATATGCATTTTAAAGATGTCAAAGATTGAGATTATAGATTCCATTTCTATTGTTGACAATTAATGAGTAAAGAGGCTAGAAATGTGTTCTTCACACTTCAATTGAGATAAATAATAAATTTTATTACTTTTTACATAATTTTTCATTTTTAATCTTCTTTTACTTTGTTTTAAAAAATTATACTAATTGTATTTTTCATTTTCTTTCAATTGTTAGATAGCCTATATGGGTGAATGTAAAGAACCAAGTCATAGAAGAGATTTAAGTTGATAATTTGTGATGGTTAATAGTTTTGTTTTAGATAGTTTTATTTTGTGGATATTAATTCTATTGTATTTGACATTTTGTTATGTTGAATCTTAAATGTTCATTTAATAACTTATGTAAAAAAAATAATTATATTAGTGAACAAATAAATGTTATTTTTTTTACATTTAAATTATTTATATATTTTATAATTATGGATAAAATTTATAAATTTTAATATTGTAATTTACAAAAAAAAGTGATAAAATTTTAGTCTATTGGATCAAAATCGAATCAATTCAATGTTTGGTTAATTTGATCTTTTTTCATATTTGATCAGTTTTGATCGATTTTTTAAAAATATTAGATCCATTTGATCTTTAGTTATGGTAAACTAAAATTTCTAATTACTCACCCTTACATGTAATTCTTTTTATAATCTAAATCTCTTTGACGGGACCACAAAATTAAATTCAATATATAAAATAAAATATTAAATTTAAATATTAAATACATGACGTTATCAAACATCATGATAATAAAAATTTTTAAAATTATTCGTGATTAATATTACGTGGATTGATATCTATCTTTTATGAAAAAATAAATTATTATTATTTAAAAAAAATTAAAATTCGAAAGTCAAATTTCGATT